CAATTTGCTTCCCTTAATTGTGATAAATCCTTCATTTTCCCAAATCTGAATTCTTAAATGTACAATTACTAAATAAAGTGGTTGATAAACTTGGTTCAATTAATTTGAAATCAATTTCTTCAAATATTGTTCCAGTGAAATCACATGCAATATATTTACAATTAATCAATCCATTATTCTTTTTAAAATGTGTTTTGATTTTACACTTTTCAAAAGTAATATTCTCAAATTTAGATCCATCAATAATTGAGTTTGTAAATATTACGTTATCGAATTTAAATTGTTTGAAACAAATGTTTGATAAATTACATCTTGAAAAATCAACCTTTTGAATCAACTCACAAACATCAATTTTAGCTCCTGACAAGTTACTTTTTGAAATATTAGTATTATTCAAAATAGAATTACTGAGATTACATTCAATCATATCACATTCTATAAAATTAGCATTAGTTAAATTACAATTGCTAAAATCACATCCTTTCAGTATTAGCATCTTGAAATTTGAACTTTCTAAATTCATTCCACTAAAATCACAAGCACTCAAATCATTAAAATTATAATATTTAAAATTCAATGACCTCTTTTGAATTTTGTGTAAATTGACAAAGTTTTTCAAATTGAGTCTTGTTGACTCTTCATTTTCCAATTCATTAATAATATTTTTCAATTCAAACTTTTTACAGGTATTTAAAAGGGATCGTTTCACATCATTACTCAATTCAATTGCAATAGCTCCGTATTGTAACCACTCGATAATATGTTTAAAAACAATTGGATCACAATCAATAAAATAAACTGGATCAGAGTTGAATGTCGAACATTGTGTTTGATAGCATGGATGTTGACCAGTGAACATTTTCTTGAATAAATTATCTGGCTCTCTTTCATTATGAATAAAATCACCCAACGAAACTGTCATGATTTTTCCTCTAACATTTAAATGAATAGGTTTGTTACTTGCTTCTAATTTCTCTCTAGAAACAACTGAATTTTCGAATTCATTAACTCTAATTTTGAATGATTGCTCCTTCAATTCAAATTCCTGAGTTAATTCATCCCTCCGTTGTTCAAAGTCCTGTTTTGTTTGCTTGACAAGTTTTTCATAATCGCTTTGCAATAATTTCACCACTTCATGTTGTGTATTTTCCAATATCTTTGTCCTCTTGGCATATTCCTTTTCTAGCTTGTCATTGAATTTTCTTTTCAATGTCTCTTTCAATTCATCAACTTGTTTATAAGCATCATGAAGAGGACAATGTTTTTCCTGATGCTCCTTCAATTGACCTCTCTCAACACCACCCTTACACATTGAGCATTGCACTTTCAATTGATTCAACTTGTCGGTTACAAACCTTGGAACAGTCGAACAATTTTCATTTAAATTATCAGCTCTACACAATGGACATCTGTTATCAACAAGTTTCTTTGCACAATCGGAGCAGAACATATTCTCACATGATGAATGCATAATCGGCTCCATCAATGGTAAATGACAAATG